AAGATCTTCATAGTGTGTGACAGTAACCTGACCGGTCTGTAGTTGGAGCAGTCCGCTGGGCTGCCCTTTCCCTTCCAGATCGGAACAGTGGTGCTGCGGTACCAGTCGTGTGGCACTTTTCCCGTGGAAACGATGTTGTTGAACAGCTCGCACAGCCACAATGCCGAGCCCGGTAGTGCCTTTTTCCAGAAGTCGGCAGGGATGTCGTCTGGTCCTGTTGCCTTACCGTTTTTCATGGCCTTGATGGCGTCGGTGACCTCGCTGGCGTGAATGCCTGAGACTGGGCCTTCGACGGGGTCACCTCGCGGGGTTCGTGGGTGTGGGAACTCCTCAGTGGAGATCTTCTCGAAGTATTGCCGCCACCTCTCGGCAGCGTCTCTGGGGTTGACGATCAAATTTCCCCTTTCGTCGTTGATCCCATGGAACTGGTCGATGTCCAGGGTCTTCCTGTGTCTGCTTTTGGCTAGGCGGTAGATCTCATTCTCGCCTTCTCGCGTGTTCAGCTTCTCGTAGATGTCGTCGTAGTGGGAGCTTCTGGCTGTCGCTACTGCTTTCTTGGCTGCCTTTTTGGCCGCCTTGTACTCGCAGAGCTTCTCGCTGGTCTTGTCCTGAAGAAAGGCCTTGTAGAGCCGTTTCTTCAGGTGCATGGCATCTTGTACTTCCGGTGTCCAGAGCCATGTATCTCGTTCGATGCGTCTCCGTCCTGGCTTGGTACAACCAAGCTGTTGGCAGCCGGCAGTGTGAACAGTGCTCTTCAGCATGGACCACGCTTCCTGTGGCCCGTCGACCATCTGCAGGAACTGCTCTGGTTTGATGAGGGGTCCCGCCATCTTCTTCTGGTTCCACCACTTGATTCGTGGCTGGTCTGCATTCTTTTTATCAAAATAAACGGTCCATTAGTCATATATCATTTCAGTCAAGTCTTGTCGGGGATACTCTATTTGCAAAGTCCGTGTTGAATAGCCAATGACAGTTCACTTACAATAAATCAGTCCAATCTTTATCTTCTCTCCGTTGAGAAAATCAACACTCCTTTTTCTCTCCCCGTTCCAGCAAGAACGCAGCCCACAATGTTGCCTTCTAACCACTGCGCCACCAGGGCTCAAACCAAGGAATTGTGAAGTGATCTTTGCCCCATCTTGTTTGCTGCAGCTGTTACGTGAATCAGTGCCGTTGATATCACACCGTCATTAAGTAAATTCAGCGTTCCTATTGACTTGGTTTGTTGGAAACCAGTTGGAAAAGGTTGCAAATGGCGATCGTGTGAACCCAGCGTGCTCCAATCTCATAGATACACGCCAGTTGCCAAACACCTAAATTTTTACAGGTAGTCAACTCACAAAAGTTTATTAGTGGCCTTTCAAAGTTACAACGGCACTGAAAAATATGACTTATGACCATTTTTCACAGTTACGACCTTTACAAAGTCCCCATATGATCAAAATTCAGATGCTTGGCAACTGACTCATATTTATGACAGCTGCAGTGTCCCAGGGTCACCTGTTCCCCTTTTATGACTTTCTGATGAGCCAAGTCAGTGGGGAAACCTGATTCGCTTAACAACCGGGTTACTAATTTACCGACGGCAGTGATTCACTTAGCTGTGGCGAGAATGGTCGTAAAATGGGGCAAAACTCACTGAACAAATGTCTCACTTAGCGACATAAATTTTGGGCTTAATTGTGGTCATAAGCCGAGGATCACCTCTATCATGTGACCTTGGGGATGCTGGTCATAAGTCACTTTTTTTCTACGCTGTTGTAACTTCGAACAATCACTAAACAAATGGTTGTAAGTTAAGGACTACCTGTGGAATCCTAGGGCCGGAAGGGACCTTGGAGATTTTCTAGTCCCGTGGTGAAGCTATGGCATACGTGCCACAGGTGGCAAGCAGGGCCATTTGTGCTGGCACATGAGCCGCAGGCAAATTTACCTCACTGCACATGCGCGCATCTCACGGCTGATTTTTTCGGCTGGTTTGAGGCCTTTTTCGTCCTCCCAGAGGCTTGGAAAAAGCCTCTGCAGGCTTTGCAGGCCAAATAATAGGCCCGTTTTGTCACTTCCGGAAATGACGAAACAGGCCTATTATTCATCCTGCAAAGCCTGCGGATGCTTTTTTCAAGCCTCTGGGAGGATGAAGAAAGCCCTCAAACCAGCCGAAAAAATCAGCCGAGAGGCACAGTGCAGGTAAGGGGGTGTGCGGGGCACGCACATATGCCTTCTGGGTGCTGGCACGTAAGCACGCAAGCGCACGCACAATTTTTGGCCCAGGAGCCCCAAAAAGGTTAGCCGCCACTGTTCTAGTCCAACCCCCTGCCCAAGGCAGATCTTAACATCAGCGTGGCCACTTGGAAGGAGCTAAGTTGGAAGACGCTGCCTTGCGGGACCCGAGAGAGGAAGCCCCAGACCTGGGTTTGTGTGTGTGTGTGTGTGTGTACACACTCTTTGCCCAAGGCACTTACTTACCCGGTGGTGACAGCATATTTGATGTGGTTGCTCGTGGTGTAAATGAAGACGCCGCTCTCGTCCCAGGCGCCGCTCTTGACCCGGATGTTCTCGTGGATATTGCACAGCGACTCCAGCTTTCGGTTGCAGATCATGATCGCTGCGGAGAGAGAGAGAGAGAGAGAAAGGAGAGTCACTCCCAAGAGCAAATCTCCTCCTCAAGCCAACATCTGACATGCCCAAAGCCACCAGTTGCCCTCCACAGCTTTTGGCTGGGCTGGCTGAGAACTCTCCAGTCCTCCGGAGGGGAAAGTAGGTTCCTAGCCACTTACAGAGCAGAGAATAAATAACTGGATTGGATCCAACCGAGGCGAGTGTATTTTTTCTTTTTATTTATTCATCAAAATTACAACCGAGCCTGATCCTCCCTAGATGAGGCTTGATTTAGGTATGATGGCAGTGTTCCAATATCGGAGGGGCTGCCCCAAAGAAGAGGGGCGATCAACCTATTCTCCAAACCGCCAGAAGGCAGGACAAGAAGCAACAAGGATGGAAACCTATCAAGAGAAAACCAATCTAGGAGAAATTCCCTGGAACCGTTACAAGGGTCTCCAGAAGCCTCCCGGAAGGGGTCCTTCCTACTTAGGTCGCGTCAAGGAGAACCATCTGAAAACAGTGGGAAGGTCCCCACTTCCAGGCAGATGAGCTCCAGGTGCCATCACGGGGGCTGGCTGTCTTTCTGGCCTAATCAGTGGGGTGGCTTCCCTCCAGAGGTCGCGGATGCTCGATCACTGGAGATTTCCAAGAAGAGTTTGGGCAGCCGTTTGTCTGAAAGGATCTCCTTGCTCGGGCAGCAGGTTGGACTGGATCAGTGGTCACCAACCGGTGGGCTGGGGACCATTGGTGGTCTGCGAGAAAATTTGGGTGGGCCGCAGAGAAATGTCACCCCCAAAGCAATTAATCCAGGCTGTGTGGGAACACAAGGCTATGACGCCCACATGGCCCGTGGGAACACAAGGCTTGCGTCGCTTGCATTGTGAACAACACGAGGTAGTGAGGGAAGGGGGAAAAGGGTGGGTGGGGGGGGAACTTGCCCCATTCACCCTACATGCCTGGCCTGGCCACCGGGCTGCTTCTTTCCGCTTCTTTCTTCTGCTTTTAGCTGCATGCAAGGAAAGCAGCAGAAGTCTTTCTTTCTCTCCCCCAAACTCCGCCACAAATGAGACTTTGGGACCCTGCAAGGCCTCCTGCTCCAAGAGGCTGCGCCGGCAAAGACTCATTTCTAGCGGAGTTTGGGGGAGAGAAAGAAAGACTTCTGCTGCTTCTGCTGATTTCCTTGCATGAAGCCAAAAGTCTCTCCCCACCCCACCCCCCGAGAACAGAGCTGGAGACGGTATCCTGCGATCCCAAATAAAGAACGATCAATCGGTAGGAAAACGGGGTGGGGAATTTTCCTGCAGATTTTGGGGGGATTTTCCCAGGGTCTCTGGTCTGCGGGATTTAAAATTATGGGTTTGGTGGTCCCTGAGGTCCAAAAGGTTGGCGAACCCTGGAATAGAGGACCTCCAAAGTCCCTTCCAACTGCTATTCTACTTGTTAAGCCTGGTTGCTGAGAGGCAGATGAGGCCTCCTCTTACCGTGCTTTGCCAGGAGAGCCACATGGGACATGTCTGCTGACCAGATGACATATTTCACCTTGGACATCTTAACTGAAGCCAGAGTCCTGCAAAGTCAGAAGATGCTCTTAGTACAGGTGTGAATCCTTTTCTGCCTTACCAGGAGACGCAAAGAACACCTCCTCCCCTACTACTCCAAAGACAACCTTGAGTCTTGGGCAGCTAAAATTCTGCTTCTGCTCACAACGAACTTTTTCAATCTCTCTCTACGGACCGAACACAAGTCCCTGGGTACTCAGAGCTCCCCTGGCCAGGCTTCACACTCAAGCAAAAGCATTGCTGGTATTTTAAGGTCACTGAATCAAATCTGTTGTGCCCATACGCACAGTTAAACTTGCTATTTCCGTTTGGCCATCCCCCTCAGTTCATTGCGCTGCCCAATTAAATCTGCTTCTTTTGTTATGGGAACAGTCCAGATCGTTCCAAGCACCTGCGTTGTGTGACCTTGGGTCCCATTGTCTGCAGATCCCGGAGTCTTGGCATTGCAGTCCCTCCCCGACATTCCAACCCCCCCCCCACCTTCCTGATTGTTGTCAAGCTGACAGTGAAGAAGAACTAGAAGAAAGACCAAATCACTTTTGACATTATGCGGACTTCAACTCCCAGAATTCTGGGAGTTGAAGTCCACATATCTTAAAGTTGCCAGGGTTGAGAAACACTGATCTACCCTCTTACATCTACCTTTCTGTCAAAACAGGTTGACTATCAGACAACATCTGTCTTGAAGGCAACTGGACTTTCTGGTTTTTCATGAAGACATTTCGCTTCTCATCCAAGAAGCTTCTTCAGAATTGACGAGAAGCGAAACGTCTTCAAGGAAAAATGAAGAAAGTCCAGCTGCCTCCTGAAAAAAAAAACACCTTTGGGACAACCATGAGCTGAGTGACTGAGAAACTCCATAGACGCTGAATATGTGATTCCTTCTCCAATTCTTAACTGACTGGACCTCTGTATGATTTGCCAATTGCACAGGGGCAGATGGGACAGCACTCCAGAGGGTGAATGTCATTGCCCAGAAGATCACTGGTTGCCCTCTCCCCTCTTTGGAAGATCTTTAGAGCTCCCGCTGCCTTAAGAAAGTTCAAAACATCCTCAAAGATCCATCTCATCCTGGGCACACTTTTTTGGAACCATTACCATCTGGCAGACAGTACAGGATAATAATAAAGACAAGGTCAAATAGGCTGAAAAAAAGCTTCTATCCCAGGGCAGTCACTCTATTGAATTCCACTGTATAGTGCAGTGTTGATGCGGTGTCGGGGTTTTTCAATTCAATGTGTGGAGGGTGAAGGATGTGTGTTTGGGTTTATTTTCAGGGTCATGATGTGCACTGTGTGTGTTTGATTTCGTGGTACGAGGTGCAATGATAATAAAGTAAACTGAACTGAAACTGAGCTGAACAATTTGACACTTGTCTGGAGCTGAAGACTTTATGCCTAAAACCGACAATCTCATCGACATTGATGGGACTGTTTGCACATCGCAGCTATGATTTGGACTAATTCTGCAATTAAGGTGCGGATCCTGCTTTTCCAGCTTCCCCAGGCCAGGGCAATATTGAACCTGTGTCCCCAAAGTGAGGCTTTTTTCAGGAGGCAACTGGGACTTTCTGGTTTTTCTTTGAAGACGTTTCGCTTCTCTCCAAGAAGCTTCTTCAGCTCTGATTGGATGGTGGGGAATGGGAGGATTTATACTCCTTACAGACAGCTGGTCATTTGCATCCTTTTTAGAGTCACTGAGGCCACTTGGGAGGTTTATCTGTGTATCCTCAGATAAATCTGTGTCCTCAGGTTAAATGGGTCCTTCCACACCCCATTTGCACTTCTCAGGTGACCCTAAGGATAAATCCTCAAGTGGCCTCAACGACTAAAGGATGCAAATGACCAGCTGTCCGCAAGGAATATAAATTCTTCCATTCCCCTTCACCCTAGTCAGAGCTGAAGAAGCTTCTTGGATGAGAAGCGAAATGTCTTCAAGGAAAAAAACCAGAAAATCCAGTTGCCTCTTGCAAAAAGCACCTTCGGGCCAACCATGATTGGGATGATATCTCTCTTGAAGGTCTCTCACCGTTTCTGCTGGACATCAAAGAGGGTGATGGAATCGGCGTCTCTCAGCAAGAGATTCCCGGTGCCGGCGTAAAAAATCTCATCGCAGTTAGGCACCTGGACTTTCTTCGTGATTTCGTTCTTCAGGTTCTTGATGAGGATCTGTCAGGGTGCAAGCAGCGGAATAAGGTAAATGTTGTGGCCTGTCGGCCGCCGGCCCCTCCGGCAGCCGAATCAGAGGAGGAGGAGGAGGAGGAGGCGTGAGAGTCAGGGTCAACATCAAGGCAACCTGGGAGCTCCGAGGGGGAAGAAGGAATGGAGTTGGCAGAGACAGACAGGGCCTGAGCCATCCGTCAGCCCTCAGATGGAGAGTCAACACCCCCCCAGGTCTGGAGGTGGCTGATGAGGAACAGGAGGAACAGCCGGATCCAGTGCCTGACGCAGAAGGCAGAGGAGAGGAGAGCAGTGGAAATCTATGGGCCGGTCCTTGGGACAGAAGAGCCACCGCTGCTAGCAAAACCCCACCCTAGCTTTGGAGATAAAAGGCAGGCGACAAAGTTGAATAGAGGTGGCAGGCATCTATTCATCTCCCTGCCAATCAGCCACAGCCAAATCCTGTCTGAAAATTATTGGAATCCTCTTGGAATCTGCAGCGCCTTCCGAGCGTGTGTGTGTGTGTGTGTCTCTCTGCTGCTGGAAGAAAGCGAGTGCACCTTCCAGGACTTCCTTTGCAAATGTGGGAAGAGAGAGAGAGTGTTGGGTCGGTTCAGGGGGAAAGGGAGCAAGCGTCCCTTTCCATAGAGACTTCCACTTCCATAGAGACTCTGTTAGCCTGCCGCGACAGAGCGGCTGCTGGCGCTCCTAACAAAGGGAACTTTTAGTTGGATACAAGGGGCTTGTCGTGTTTAGAAGCCGGGTCAGAACAGCGAAGAGGACTACACAGCAGGGACAGGAAGGCAAGCAGGAAAAAAAACCCTTCTGCCCACAAAACGCTCACGCATAAACTCGGTGGGACAAAACACAAACAGCTATGCTGTGGTTGTCGAAACGTGTTTGAATATTCGTAGCTCATGCTGGTTTGGTTAGGCTGTTGGTTGGAGCTCCAAGCTTGGCAATGACACAACTCCAAACACACTGACGAGGTTTCCTCGAATGGGGACCAACGTTTGCAACCCAACTGCCACGCTCAAAGCTCGGCCCAACAGCCCTAAATACAGGGAGTCCTCCAGCTACAGCCCAACTGGGACCAGAATTTTCCATTGCTAAACAAGGCGGATGTTACGGGAGCCATGCTTTATGACCTTTTTTTTTGTCCTGGTTGTTAAGCGAATCACGCTCTCATTAAGCGAATCGGGCGCCCCCATTGACAGAAGGTCACCAGAGAGGATCCCATGACCCCCCCCCACCCCAGGACACAGGGATCTGCCACCGTCATAAATAAGGAGTCAGTTGCCAAGGGTCCGAATTTGGATCCTGTGACCCTGCAGAGATCTGAAAACCAGTCGCAAGTCACGGCTTTTGGTGCCGTGGTAACTTTGTGACTATAAATGAACGGTGGTCAGTCGAGGCAGAAGAGGGAGCCGGTGTTCTGCCCAGGAGGAATCCTGTGGTCTGCAGGGATGTCGGGCCTTACCGAGTGCATCCGGTCCAAGACGGCAAAGCGGTTCCGAGCGACCCAGACAGCTGTGAGTCCCGAGGAGCGTTTTCCTTCCGGAGCTGGAAAGGCAAGGAGCAGGCGGTCACACAAAGTTCGGTGCCTGCTGGCGACACACAAACACTCTCTGTCTCTGTCTCTCTCTTACACACACACACACACACACACACACACACACACACACACACACAGA